CCCCTCTATTCTCACCAGAACTCCACACTCCCCTCTATTCCACCGGAACTCCACACTCCCCTCTATTCTCACCGGAACTCCACACTCCCCTCTATTCTCACCAGAACTCCACACTCCCCTCTATTCTCACCGGAACTCCACACTCCCCTCTATTCTCAGAACTCCACACTCCCCTCTATTCTCACCAGAACTCCACACTCCCCTCTATTCCACCGGAACTCCACACTCCCCTCTATTCTCACCGAACTCCACACTCCCCTCTATTCCCACCGGAACTCCACACTCCCCTCTATTTCACCAGAACTCCACACTCCCCTCTATTCCACCGGAACTCCACACTCCCCTCTATTCCACCGGAACTCCACACTCCCCTCTACCACCGGAACTCCACACCCCTTCTCACCGGAACTCCACACTCCCCTCTATTCTCACCGGAACTCCACACTCCCCTCTATTCTCACCAGAACTCCACACTCCCCTCTATTCTCACCAGAACTCCACACTCCCCTCTATTCTCACCGGAACTCCACACTCCCCTCTATTCTCACCAGAACTCCACACTCCCCTCTATTCTCACCAGAACTCCACACTCTATTCTCACCGGAACTACACTCCCCTCTATTCCACCAGAACTCCACACTCCCCTCTATTCTCACCAGAACTCCACACTCCCCTCTATTCTCACCGGAACTCCACACTCCCCTCTATTCTCACCAGAACTCCACACTCCCCTCTATTCTCACCAGAACTCCACACTCCCCTCTATTCTCACCGGAACTACACTCCCCTCTATTCTCACCAGAACTCCACACTCCCCTCTATTCTCACCGAACTCCACACTCCCCTCTATTCCACCGGACTCCACACTCCCTCTATTCTCACCAGAACTCCACACTCCCCTCTATTCTCACCAGGAACTCCACACTCCCTCTATTCCCACCGGAACTCCACACTCCCCTCTATTCTCACGAACTCCACACTCCCCTCTATTCCTCACCAGAACTCCACACTCCCCTCTATTCTCACCGGAACTCCACACTCCCCTCTATTCCCACCGGAACTCCACACTCCCTCTATCTCACCGGAAACTCCACACTCCCCTCTATTCCGAACTCCACACTCCCTCTATGTCTCCCGAACTCCACACTCCCCTCTATTCTCCACAGAACTCCACACTCCCCTCTATTCCTCACCGGAACTCCACACTCCCCTCTATTCTCACCGGAACTCCACACTCCCCTCTATTCTCACCAGAACTCCACACTTCCCCTCTATTCTCACCAGGAACTCCACACTCCCCTCTATTCTCACCGGAACTCCACACTCCCCTCTATTCCCACCAAGAACTCAACCACACTCCCCTCTATTCTCACCGGAACTCCACACTCCCCTCTATTCTCACCGAACTCCACACTCCCCTCTATTCCACCAGAACTCCACACTCCCCTCTATTCTCACCGGAACTCCACACTCCCCTCTATTCTCACCGGAACTCCACACTCCCCTCTATTCTCACCGTAAACTCCACACTCCCCTCTATGTCCCACCGTAGAACTGCCACACTCCCCTCTATTCTCCACCGAAACTCCACACTCCCCTCTAGTTTCCATCCACAGAACTCCACACTCCCTCATTCCCACCGGAACTCCAGCACTTCCCCTATAGTCGCATCGGAACTCCACACTCCCATCTATTACTCATCGGAACGCCACACTCCCCTCTAAAATTCTCACCGGAACTCCACACTCCCCTCTATTCTCACCAGGACTTCCACACTCCCCTCTATTCTCACCAGAACTCCACACTCCCTCTATTCTCATCAGAACTCCACAGCTCCCCTCTAATTCTCACCAGAACTCCACACTCCCCCTCTATTCTCATCAGGAACTCCAGCACTCCCTCTATTCTCACCAGAACTCCACACTCCCCCTCATTCTCACCGGAACTCACATCCCCTCTATCTCACCGAACTCCACACTCCCTATTTCTCCAACGTGAACTCCACAGCTCCCCTCTATTCTCACCAGGAACTCCACACTCCCCTCTATCTCCCACCGAAACTCCACGCATCCCCTCTATTCTCATCCGGAACTCCACACTCCCCTCTATTCTCACCGGAACTCCACACTCCCCTCTATTCCACCGGAACTCCACACTCCCCTCTATTCCACCGGAACTCCACACTCCCCTCTATTCTCACCAGAACTCCACACTCCCCTCTATTCCACCGGAACTCCACACTCCCCTCTATTCTCACCGGAACTCCACACTCCCCTCTATTCTCACCAGAACTCCACACTCCCCTCTATTCTCACCGGAACTCCACACTCCCCTCTATTCTCAGAACTCCACACTCCCTCTATTCTCACCAGAACTCCACACTCCCCTCTCATTCACCGGAACTCCACACTCCCCTCTATTCTCACCGAACTCCACACTCCCCTCTATTCCACCGGAACTCCACACTCCCCTCTATTCCACCAGAACTCCACACTCCCCTCTATTCCACCGGAACTCCACACTCCCTCTATTCCACCGGAACTCCACACTCCCCTCTATTCTCACCGGAACTCCACACTCCCCTCTATTCTCACCGGAACTCCACATCCCCTCTATTCTCACCGGAACTCCACACTCCCCTCTATTCTCACCAGAACTCCACACTCCCCTCTATTCTCACCGAACTCCACCTCCCCTCTATTCTCACCGGAACTCCACACTCCCCTCTATTCTCACCAGAACTCCACACTCCCCTCTATTCTCACCAGAACTCCACACTCCCCTCTATTCACCGGAACTCCACACTCCCCTCTATTCCACCAGAACTCCACACTCCCCTCTATTCTCACCGAACTCCACACTCCCCTCTATTCTCACCGGAACTCCACACTCCCCTCTATTCTCACCAGAACTCCACACTCCCCTCTATTCCCAGAACTCCACACTCCCCTCTATTCTCACCGGAACTCCACACTCCCCTCTATTCTCACCAGAACTCCACACTCCCCTCTATTTCACCGAACTCCACACTCCCCTCTATTCCCACCGGAACTCCACACTCCCTCTATTCCCACGGAACTCCACACTCCCCTCTATTCTCACCAGAACTCCACACTCCCCTCTATTCTCACCAGAACTCCACACTCCCCTCTATTCTCACCGGAACTCCACACTCCCCTCTATTCCAACCGGAACTCCACACTCCCCTCTATTCTCACCGGAACTCCACACTCCCCTCTATTCTCACCGGAACTCACACTCCCCTCTATTCCAACCGGAACTCCACACTCCCCTCTATTCTCACCGGAACTCCACACTCCCCTCTATTCTCACCAGAACTCCACACTCCCCTCTATTCTCACCGGAACTCCACACTCCCCTCTATTCTCACCGGAACTCCACACTCCCCTCTATTCTCACCAGAACTCCACACTCCCCTCTATTCCACCGGAACTCCACACTCCCCTCTATTCTCACCGAACTCCACACTCCCCTCTATTCCACCAGAACTCCACACTCCCCTCTATTCCACCGGAACTCCACACTCCCCTCTATTCCCCGGAACTCCACACCCCCTCTATTTCCACCAGAACTCCACACTTCCCTCTAATCCCACCGGAACTCCACACTCCCCTCTATACTCACCGGAACTCCACACTCCCCTCTATTCTCACCGGAACTCCACACTCCCCTCTATTCTCACCGGAATTCCACACTCCCCTCTATTCTCACCAGAACTCCACACTCCCCTCTATTCTCACCAGAACTCCACGCTCCCCTCTATTCTCACCGGAACTCCACACTCCCCTCTATTCTCACCAGAACTCCACACTCCCCTCTATTCTCACCAGAACTCCACGCTCCCCTCTATTCTCACCGGAATTCTACACTCCCCTCTATTCCCACCAGAACTCCACACTCCCCTCTATTCTCACCAGAACTCCACACTCCCTCTATTCTCACCGGAACTCCACACTCCCCTCTATTCTCACCAGAACTCCACACTCCCCTCTATTCTCACCAGAACTCCACACTCCCCTCTATTCCCACCGGAACTCCACACTCCCCTCTATTCTCACCGGAACTCCACACTCCCCCTCTATTCCCACCGGAACTCCACACTCCCCTCTATTCCCACCGGAACTCCACACTCCCCTCTATTCTCACCAGAACTCCACACTCCCCTCTATTCTCACCGGAACTCCACACTCCCCTCTATTCTCATCGGAACTCCACACTCCCCTCTATTCTCACCAGAACTCCACACTCCCCTCTATTCCAACCGGAACTCCACACTCCCCTCTATTCTCACCGAAACTCCACACTCCCCTCTATTCCCACCAGAACTCCACACTCCCCTCTATTCCCACCGGAACTCCACACTCCCCTCTATTCTCACCAGAACTCCACGCTCCCCTCTATTCTCACCGGAACTCCACACTCCCCTCTATTCTCACCAGATCTCCACACTCCCCTCTATTCTCACCAGACATGGCGCGCAGTCCTCACCATAGCGCGAGAGGAGGAATCGCGAGCGCGCGAGGCAAAACTTAAATAGAAAATATTTTGTTGGAATTAAATATGAGTAGTCTGTTGAAGCATCTTGTCTTGCAAAAAATTCGAGTGCGTTTTAAATAGTGTTCATCAGTAACACTTTTGAAAACCGACAATCATCATATCTTGCCCTGACCGAACAATGTCTCCCAAATGTTGGTTGTTCACTTGTTTAGAATTATAATTTATATCGTGAGCATTGTCGTATATTGCATAAGTAACGTACATTAAAGAAGTGATCTTCGTGATGATGTATTAACTAGATGCATGTAAGTATGAACGTTACGGGAGTAATCGAGCCCAAAGGCAGGCGTGATAAACACAGTGTGTATGGTGGCAACTCCCTCACTAGAGCTGAGTGCTGGATGATCTCAGCGACGTCCGCTTTCAGTACGCCGCTTCTATAATAACCTCGGGCCTGGAGGACGCTCGGTTCGAATTCGTGAGAGCGCTGATTTCGGTTTCAAAGAGGCGAGGCGATAAAAGCGACGTCTTGAGATGGCGGAAACTGCTCCTGCTCAACCACCAGCTGCGGCTACTTCAGCGCCTAAAAGCCCCAAGAAGAAGCGCGCCGCTCCAAAGGCCAAGAAGGTCGGCCCCAGCGTGTCCGAGCTCATCCTCAAGGCTCTGGCCAGCAGCAAGGAGAGGAACGGCGTGTCTCTTCCTGCGCTCAAAAAGTCGCTTGCTGCCGGAGGATACGACGTGGAGAAGAACAATGCCCGCGTGAAGTTGGCCATCAAGAAGCTCGTGGCCAAAGACGCCGTGGCGCAAGTGAAGGGCAGCGGCGCGTCTGGCTCTTTCAAACTCAACAAGGAAAAGGCTGCCGCAAAGGCGAAGCCCAAGTCGTCAACGGCAAAGCCCGCAGCTAAAAAGCCCGCGGCAGCCAAGAAGGTGAAGAAGCCCGCGGCAGCCAAGAAGACCGCGCCCAAGAAGTCTCCCAAGAAAGCAAAGAAGCCCGCGGCTGCCAAGGCGGCCAAGAGCCCCAAAAAGGTGAAGTCGGCTGTTAAGCCCAAGAAGGCGGCGAAGAGCCCAGCCAAGCCCAAGGCTGCGAAGCCCAAGGTCGCTAAGCCCAAGACCGTCAAGGCCAAGGCCGCCAAACCCAAGGTGGCCAAGCCCAAGAAGGCCGCGGCCAAGCCCAAGAAGACTGCGCCAAAGAAGTGAATCCGATGGGACGACCGACGCTCGATTCACTCCACCTCAACGGCTCTTTTCAGAGCCACCCACTTCGTTAAAAAAGTGAACCAGATGCTGCTGCGCTTCAATTAGTTCAAATTAACTGTGTAACATTTCACCCACTCGATGTGTTTTAAGCATTGATGTGATGGGAGTGATCGAGCCCGAAAGCAGGGATCACAAACACAGGCGAGGCGGGTGGCAGCTCCCTCACTCGAACTGAGTGCAGAGTAATCTCAGCGACGTCAGCATTCTCGCTGGCGATTCTAATCTAAATCCAGATTCAAAATCGATGCATTCTTGACGAACCTCCAATTTTGATTATGTGTTGCACCTCTTCATTCCGTCATCATGTTACTGGTGCCAAATATGGAATTTAGTCTAAAAATGTATTGATTCCAGACAGCTTTACTCATTTGCCTTCATTCGCTCGTTCTCGCCTTTTCACTTTGTTTTTGTTTTGTAAACATTGCGGTGCACCATCTAAACTTCTCTATTAAATTAATTACTATACGTAAATATCGCATTGTTTGCAATGTCTTTCTTACTTTGGGACAACTAGTTGGTGACGTTCACTCAACTATTGTGTTGGAAGCCGTTTAGCTTCACACGATTATAAAGTTAGTTCATCTTGTTCACTTGCAAACAAGACCTTACACCGATTATTCACTGCCACGTGCAATCTTGCAACAGATGGCGTTCCTCTGGCGTTCGCTGCGGGTGTGCCAATATCATTCCAGAGTGCTTCGAAGAAGGGCCATTGCCCAAAACGTCGCATATTATACATGTCAAGGAAGTGTTATTGACGACGGTGGAGGGTTTTCTTCGTCGCAGAGGTTAAAGGTGGAAGGTTTAAGGCGGAGCCATCGCGGAGGGCAGGGGTGGTCGGTGACGTCGCCACGCTTCGGGTATAAAGGCGGCTGCTGCTGCAAGCTGAGCGCGCAGTCTCTCGCGAGGAGCTTTGTCACAAGTAGTCGCAATGTCTGGACGCGGTAAAGGCGGTAAGGGGCTCGGCAAGGGAGGCGCAAAACGCCATCGCAAGGTGCTGCGCGACAACATCCAGGGCATCACCAAGCCCGCCATCCGCCGCCTCGCTCGCCGCGGCGGTGTGAAGCGCATCTCGGGCCTCATCTACGAGGAGACCCGCGGCGTCCTGAAGGTCTTCCTTGAGAACGTCATCCGCGACGCCGTCACCTACACGGAGCACGCCAAGCGCAAGACCGTCACCGCCATGGACGTGGTCTACGCCCTCAAGCGCCAGGGCCGCACTCTCTACGGCTTCGGAGGCTGAGCGCCCATCTCTCGCACACTAAGCCAACCCAAAGGCTCTTTTCAGAGCCACCCACCTCTTCGAAACTGCTTGCGCCAGTGTTGCCAAACACGCTCTGAATGGAGCACATGTCCTGGGTTGTTGTGAGCGTGCTGGACGTTTGCTTGTTGAGTTGGCGAATCTTCATCTGCTTCCACATGAATGAATGAAAGAAATCATGATATTCACGTCACATTTAACAAGGCGTAATTCTTGAACGCCTTAATACAGTACCCATTTCTGGTATTTTGCGTTAATTATTTCCAGCTGCAGCCGAATACGATATTACGTAGAGCATTTGGCGCCACAATCTTACAGCACACTCGTCCTAATTGACGGAGCGTGCCGGAATGCTAATCTCCACCTGTACAGCACAACAGCGAAGTTATTTTTCTCCACCGAGCGCTTGTATTTTTCCAAATTGCGTTCATAAAACGCCCGTGCGCCGTATTAGACGAGTGGTGAAACAATCCCTCGTAAGAAACAAAAAAACCCACGCTCAAAACACAATATACTGTATTGGGTTTTCTAGTCATCCTTTTTAAACAAAGGCAATGCCATGGCTGCAATTCACTAATACACATGTTTGGACATTACATTGTGTTATATTCACAAGTCCTTTTTGCAGTAAAATCGATATTAAAGTGAACATCGCGTCCGCGTTTCTCATTGGAGGCTGATGGAGAGGGACGGTACTAAAAGAGCCACTCAGCAGCGCCGCGCACTACGATCCTCTGATTTGCATCTCGCCTCCTATAAAAGGAGCTCAACGCGCGAGCGACATCCACATTCGCTTCCCGTCTGTTCTGACCTGAAGCTGCTGCCTACGACGCGTCGACATGCCCGATCCTCCCGCATCAAAGAGCGCTGGGCCGGCCAAGGTTCCTGCTCCCAAGAAGGGCTCCAAGAAGGCTGTGACCAAGGCTACGCGCAAGGATGGCAAGAAGCGACGCCACCGCAGGAAGGAGAGCTACGCCATTTACATCTACAAGGTGATGAAGCAGGTGCACCCCGATACCGGCATCTCGTCCAAGGCAATGAGCATCATGAACTCGTTCGTCAACGACATCTTCGAGCGCATCGCTTCCGAGGCGTCCCGCCTGGCGCACTACAACAAGCGCTCCACCATCACTTCTCGGGAGATCCAGACCGCAGTGCGACTGCTGCTCCCCGGCGAGCTGGCCAAGCACGCCGTGTCGGAGGGCACCAAGGCCGTCACCAAGTACACAAGCTCCAAGTGAAGCCTCGACTCCACCATTAATTACAAAGGCTCTTTTCAGAGCCACCCACCTCTCCGAACCTGCTTGTACCAGTCCTAGCAGGAGTACTAAACGAAACTTCCAACAAAGCCCCGGTTCACGCGGGGACATTGTTCGCTCATTGAGTGAAATGGAGAGATGGAACGCATTTTAACCTGTTTCCACGTGAATAAAAGCGATAACAATATTCATGGCACATCATATTCACCAGCAGGCATTTCTTGGACTTGTTTGTCCATTGATTTCATCTGCAGCCCATTCAGATATTACATTGGATATTTGGTGCCAAAACCTTGCAATGCAATATATTTAATTCGTGGTTGTATTTTCGGGCAGGAACTAACATTTTGCACGTGTGCATCTATGTAAAAGTAAGCGCCTAGCATGGATGACTCGTGCAGTATAATTGATGATCATCATCTCAATGCCAAGAGAATAGATATCTATCCCTGTGATCACCTCTTTCCGACAATTTTACGTATTAACTTTGGAGCTTTCGTGACTGCAGGAATTATTCTTTGGTTCTTTCGGTAAAGTCACGTATATAAAAAAACAAATTGGTGATATCTGTCTGCTTATATGTCTGTCTATAATTTTTTCTGGTTCGATTTTATGTCGCTATTTCATTATACCTGATGATGATTGCTTGTGTTGCAATCGAAACGTCGTATGCTATTATTTAATTTATTATTTTTTCTTTATACGTGACTTTACCGAAAGAACCAAAGAATAATTTTTACGTATTACTGTTTCCAATGAAGTGCAGTTTTTCACACTTTATTTAGATCACGCGGAGCACTGTAAAGTTGTCTTCGGAAAGGTGTTTGCTTGAGAAAAGAACATCCGTTAAAGACACGGACGGCGCTCAAACGGTACTACTGCATCGTGATGCGGCATTCTGCAATGCTCCAAAGTGAGAACATTTCGTTGATGAAGAAGAGTTGACGACTCGAGATCATTGCACGCTGCCAACCAATCAGCACGCGCCCCTTCTTCGCACGTCACGACTCCGCTGACCAGTGAGCGCGCGCTCTGGGCTACATAAGCCGCCTTCTCCTCCCCGCCTGTGAGAATCTTTGCCCTCACCAAGCCATGGCTCGCACCAAGCAGACGGCTCGCAAGTCCACGGGCGGCAAGGCCCCCCGCAAGCAACTCGCCACCAAGGCGGCCCGAAAGAGCGCTCCGGCCACGGGCGGCGTCAAGAAGCCTCACCGCTACAGGCCCGGCACCGTCGCTCTGCGCGAGATCCGCCGCTACCAGAAGTCCACCGAGCTGCTCATCCGCAAACTGCCCTTCCAGCGCCTCGTCAGGGAGATCGCGCAGGACTTCAAGACCGACCTGCGCTTCCAGAGCTCCGCTGTCATGGCTCTGCAGGAGGCCAGCGAAGCGTACCTTGTCGCGCTCTTCGAGGACACCAACCTGTGCGCCATCCACGCCAAGCGCGTCACCATCATGCCCAAGGACATTCAGCTCGCCCGCCGCATTCGTGGCGAGCGCGCTTGAACGCCCAGCTCGGCCCTCAAAGCACAACACAAAGGCTCTTTTCAGAGCCACCACTTACTCGTGAGAAAGCTTCCATGTGTGTCCTTCAAAGTTCGGGTGCCGGAAACCTTCGTTTGCTGGTCACGGCTCTCACGAGTCGTCAGGCGTAAGCGACAATCAAGTTCATTTTCTATACCCCGCCGCTCATTCTGCAACATCACACGTTGGTGTTGTGTATAAGCGTTGTGAAACCATGTTTACATAATGTACAACAAAAGAGTTATTTTGGTGAAATGTATTTTACCTCAGAGTCGCGTGGTGGGTGTGGAGGCCTAGCACCGTGCAGAGCCTCCCGCCTCGCCTGATTTTGCCACCCGGCTGACGCTGGGTACGGGTGCCGTTTCCCCCCCCCCCCCCGCGCTACAATAATACTGTGTAATCGCTATAATTTAATAATCTACCGACCCTATAATAGTAATAGCACACATTGTGGTGGGGGGGGGAGTAAAGAGGACGTGAAACTTAGATGAATTTACCTCAGAGTCGCGTGTTAATGCGTGCGCCTATTTTTAACGGGAATTAAAGATGGCGTCCACCCCGCAACTGCTAGCCCGTCGCTAGCCGTTGCCAGGGGCAACCGGCGTCCAATGAAAGCGGCGAAGTCGTCGCTAGGCGTTGGCAGGGGCAACCGGCGTCCAATGAAAGTGCGTATGGTCCGACATCCACACACAGACAGACAGACATTCACGATTTTATATATATAGATTAAACCCAAAGATATTGGTTTATGCTGTTTCAAGCCCGAGCTGATAAGAAGTTCACATTTTGCAAACTGAGACTGAATTATTCACGCACATATATTTTTAGGCATTGCCCGAACAGGCGGTTAAAAAAATATATCTATACACCGTATAGGCACGTGGGCGATCAATCACGAGCTCAAGGCTATCACAATGATTTCTTATAACCAATGCGGTCCCTCAAAATGATGATTATAATCAATAATACATTGATATTTGCGGAATCCGCTTATAAGTTTGACTTGCCAGCACGCGCCCATAAATTAACTCTATCATGCTTAAAACTTGGACCTATTAAGTACGTGTATCGCATTGTTTAATTCATAAGATGCGTGTGCGCATTAAAACATATATGGATACGAATAATGAAAGTCAACATCGAATCCTCGCGTCCCGGCTTGTCATTGGTGGCTCAAGGAGAGGGCGGGACTCGAGCGAGAGGAGCCAATCAGCAGCGGCGCGCTCTACGATCCTCGTCTCCGCTATAAAAGCCGCTCCCGTGGTGCGTGTTAACGTCACAAATCGTTCGTACTTTGTCTCCAGTGCTTTTTGCATCCTAGGTCCCTTAACGATGTCTGGACGCGGCAAGACCGGTGGCAAATCTCGCGCCAAGGCAAAGTCCCGCTCTTCCCGCGCCGGCCTGCAGTTCCCCGTGGGTCGCGTTCACAGGCTGCTCCGCAAGGGCAATTACGCCCAGCGGGTCGGCGCTGGAGCACCCGTCTACCTGGCCGCCGTGCTCGAGTACCTTTCTGCCGAGATCCTCGAGCTGGCTGGCAATGCCGCCCGCGACAACAAGAAGACGAGGATCATCCCCCGACACCTGCAGCTCGCCGTGCGAAACGACGAGGAGCTCAACAAGCTCATGGGCGGCGTGACTATCGCCCAGGGCGGTGTGCTGCCCAACATCCAGGCCGTGCTGCTGCCCAAGAAGACCTCTCAGGCAAAGAAGTGAACGCGCCGCCGCCTCTACCACCACAACAACGGCTCTTTTCAGAGCCACCCACTTGCTTGCAAAGAGCTCGGACAGTCGTGCACAGGGGTTTTGTTATTAATAAGGACACCGTCGTCGAGTTGCCCTCGTCCCAAATTGCTCGCAATTAAACGAATGCTCTGCTCATTCCAGATACCCTTTATGTCTAATTTAGGAACGGTATTTGAGCAGCATTCCAACATTGCATCAATCATGGAACATGGTTTAGAATAAATTATGATGCCTATTGGAAGAAAGTATCGTGTTTTTTTAAAGAATAAAACTCGCTCTTTTTGAGCGGTCAGATTACATGTGAAGAGGAGTCGGTGAATGGTTCAAGCACTTTAAGGGATCTGCGAGCCACCCTCACGCACCACGCAAACACGACATCTCCGCTCTCACGACAACACGCACCAATCGCACGCGCGGGGAAGAGCTGGACGGGGGGGTCAGGGGTTAAAGGGCAGACACCGCTGGTTTCAAGTTCATTTCAAGTTCATTTATTAGGTATAGCCCTGTGAGCCATTCAGCTCTTGAATCGGGTGCAACCGCAACAAACAAAAAACATGAACAAAAAACATCTTAAAGTGAATATGTGACTAAGTGCAAACAGAAAATCCAAGAAAAGACAGCAAAAATATTGCAGAAAAAACACCGTACACCAACGCTGTGTGCAAAAATCCCAGTGGGATGCAAGTCAAACAACAACAACAACCACAAGACAACTTAGATTAAGGCCATCAGTCTAACTCTGTACTACAACAACACAAACATGGCTAAACCAATACACTTTTCGAAATCACCAAAATAAAGCCATGAAAGCAATGAAAAAGCAATCATAGGAACTGTGACGGAATTTTCACAATAAATGGCATAAACAACATGTACTACCAAAACCCTGCAGCCATAGCTGGCTGCATGAGTCACTCCACAGCAGGTCGCAAGAGACTGCGCGTGGCGCTTTGTGTTGCCGTTGCCATGAATCGTCGAAGCGCGTTCACGATCTGTTGTTCTCCTGTAACGCGGTGGTCATTTCGATTTAAAGCTTTCGTGACTGCAGGGATTCATCTGCTTGGTTCTTTCGGTAAAGTCACGTAAGATGGAAATAATAAAATAATAATAAAACAAAAAAGTAATTGTAAAATTTTATTATTAAAATAAAAATGCTATTTAATAATAAACTAATGAAAATAAAAATAATAAGTAAAAGGTTTCTTTTTATTATTTTATTATTTAATAATGACGTCAACACCCCCCTCCCCACTGACTCGCGAGCCCACAGAGCAATGACGTCAACACCCCCCTCTCCACTGACTCGCGCGCCCACAGAGCGATGACGTCAACACCCCCCTCCCCACTGACTCGCGCGCCCACAGAGCGATGACGTCAACACCCCCCTCCCCACTGACTCGCGCGCCCACAGAGCGATGACGTCCACACCCCCCTCCCCACTGACTCGCGCGCCCACAGAGCGATGACGTCAACACCCCCCCTCCCCACTGACTCGCGCGCCCACAGAGCGATGACGTCAACACCCCCCTCCCACTGACCCGCGCGCCCACAGAGCGATGACGTCCACACCCCCCTCCCCACTGACTCGCGCGCCCACAGAGCGATGACGTCCACACCCCCCTCCCCACTGACTCGCGCGCCCACAGAGCAAGGATTGCAACAGGCAATGTCATTGGCTGCGCCGGATGCGACGGCCACGGATCGCAGGGGGAGCGGGCGGCCATCTTGTCAGACAGAGGGACGGCCTCGCGAAGCCTGTCGCAGTAGGCCTCGCGAAGCCTTCTGCACTAGGCCTCGCGAAGCCTCCTGCAGTAGGCCTCGCGATGCCTTCCCTGCAGTAGGCCTCGCGAAGCCTTCTCTGCAGTAGGCCTCGCGAAGCCTTCTCTGCAGTAGGCCTCGCGAAGCCTTCTCTGCAATAGGCCTCGCGAGCCTTCCCTGCAGTAGGCCTCGCGATGCCTCCTGCATAGGCCTCGCGAAGCCTCCTGCCTAGTAGCCTCGCGAAGCCTTCTGCACTAGGCCTCGCGAAGCCTTCTGCACTAGGCCTCGCGAAGCCTTCTGCACTAGGCCTCGCGAAGCCTTCTCTGCAATAGGCCTCGCGAAGCCTTCTCTGCAATAGGCCTCGCGAAGCCTTCTCTGCAATAGGCCTCGCGAAGCCTTCTCTGCAATAGGCCTCGCGAAGCCTTCTCTGCAGTAGGCCTCGCGATGCCTTCCCTGCAGTAGGCCTCGCGAAGCCTCCTGCAGTAGGCCTCGCGAAGCCTTCTCTGCACTATGCCTCGCGATGCCTTCCCTGCAGTAGGCCTCGCGAAGCCTCCTGCAGTAGGCCTCGCGAAGCCTTCTGCACTAGGCCTCGCGAAGCCTTCTCTGCAGTAGGCCTCGCGAAGCCTTCTCAGCAGTAGGCCTCGCGATGCCTTCTCTGCAGTAGGCCTCGCGAAGCCTTTTCCGAAGTAGGCCTCGCGCCGTGCTTTTCGTGCACAAATAAGGCGATTAAATGTATCTTGTCTCTGTGTTAATAAATGTATCTTGTCTCTGTGTTAATAAAACGTGCTGCGTTTCAGTAAAGTAAATTTGAAGCGAAGTTTATTATTACACTTGTTAAGCCAGGAAAGCCCCACTGAGTCAAAAGGTTTTTGTAGGGTCCTGCCAAGTGTTTGCAGTAGGGGGCGATGTTGCTACACCAAATCGGACGATACGAAGGGAGAGATTGAGGCCTAGTTCTAGGCTTTAGGCCTAGCTGTAGGCTTTAGGGCGCTGTGAGTTAATTTTTTATTTAAATGTTTTAATGATTTATATAAAAGCTTTAAATTTAAATGTTTCTATTTAAAAACATGAGGGAATGTAACATTGTTAAACATAACTCCCTTTCACACACGCGAGGGTACGATACGAAGGGAGAGTTTCAGGCCTAGTTCTAGGCTTTAGGCCTAGCTGTAAGTTTTAATTAAAAGCTATCTCAGGGAATAAGGGAATGTTACACGTGTCATGCCAAGTGTTTGCAGTAGGGGGCGATGTTACTACCAGGATAGCGTCACTGAGTCTAAAGGTTTTTGTAGGGTCATGCCAAGTGTTTGCAGTAGGGGGCGATGTTGATACACGGACGGACGGACAGTCAGACGGACGGACGGATGGACGGTCGGACGGACAGACACATTAATCTATTGGTGGTCTGGTCCACTTCGTTCCTTCCAGTATAAAACCCCACCCACTCCCCCCACCCCATCACCCCCCCCACTCCCCCCACCCCATCACTCCCCCCACCCCATCACTCCCCCCACTCCCCCCACCCCATCACTCCTCCCCACCCCATCACCCCCCCACCCCATCACCCCCCACTCCCCCCACCCCATCACCCCCCTTCACTCCCCGCCACTTCCCCCACCCCCACTCCCCCCACCCCATCACTCACCCCCACCCCCTCCTCCCCCCACATTGGGGAGGGCCTGACCTGGAGCGCCAACAGCACTGAGCTTCTGAAAAAGGCCCAGCAGAGACTTTACTTCCTGAGAATTCTCAGGAATAATAACATCACACAGAAACTGCTGGTGTCCTTCTACCGAGCCTCCATCGAGAGCATTCTTACATACTGCATCTGTGTATGGTACACCAGCTGCACAGTGGCTCAGAGGAAAGCGCTCCAGAGGGTCATCAACACAGCCCAAAAGATCGCCGGCTGCCATCTCCCCACACTGGAAGAACTACACAGTTCACGTTGCATCAAAAAAGCACAGAACATTATAAAGGACTCTTCTCACCCTGGACACTCACTGTTTGAGCTGTTGCCATCAGGCAGACGATTTAGATCAGTCAAAACAAAGACAAACAGATTCAAACAGAGCTTTTATCCTATAGCGATCACCACACTCAATAATGCTAATTAATTATTAAGTAATAGTGTTTACAATTGACTGTGAAATAGAGATGTGCAATGACAAAATGTAACCTTATGTGGGTATGTGGGTATACTTGGGCTGTTTTTATATATAGTATAAATTGATTATCTTTCATTTAATTTAATTTTTATTTTCTTGTTTTATTTAATTTAAATTTATGAATGATGCCCTGACTGGTGATCATTTTAAATTTCGTTGTACTGGTGACAATGACAATAAACGATCTATCTATCTATTCCGCCCCCACTCACCCCCACCCCCTCGTCCCCCCCCCCTCTTCCCCACCCCCACACCCCCAACCGCCATTCCGCCCCCACTCCGTTTCCCCCCCCCCCACTCTCCCCCCACCTCCCACCCCCCACTCCCCCCCCCCACCACCAATCGCCGCCATTGGCCACTGAGTGACGGTGACGTCACCACGGCGCCTGTGCCAGGCTGGGTGCACTTCGAGGCTGCCGCGTGAAGTGTCGACGGCTCGACACTGAGGTGGTGACGTCACGCGAGCGTTGTGTTTAACGATTTAACGATATTAGCGTAAAGATATGAGCATTAGCTCAAGTGATGTGAATACGTTCGGATTACCTCAAGTAATGTTACATTTACCTGAGGTGATGTTACCTTGCCTGAGGTAAAGTTACCTCGCCTTCCATTTGCATTCCGATTACCTTACCCTGAGGTAATAATCACGCGATAATTGTGTTTAACGATTTAACTACGTGAGAATATTACGATAGGGTCATTAGCTGAAGTGATGTGAATACGTTAGGATAACATCAAGTAATGCTACATTTACCTGAGGTAATGTTACCTCCCGCGAGGTAACTTACCTCGCATGAGGTAAAGGAAAAGTTACCTCACCTGAAGGTAATTTTACTTCACCTAATGTAATGTTACCTCGCATGAAGTGAAGTTACCTCATCTGAGGTAAAGTTACCTCACCGGTGACGATTTTCTGAACCGGTCCTGGGCCTCATCCCCTAGGTCGACTCGGCCTCAAATGAGTTTCCTGGTGTAAGCGGT